GACTCGCGCTGCGCCGCGTGCTGTCCGCCCTCCCGTCCTCGCCCGCCCCGAACCGCACGGCCCGGGGGGGGGGAGCAGAGGGGTGGAAGACAGGTTTACAGGCGCTGGTTGGCACCTGAGCTCGCGGGGAGGAGGACAGGTCGGTACAGGTGTGGGAGCCGCTGTAATTGCGGGCGCCCGGCCCGCGTCTGATCCGTCGGCTTTTAAGTCTGGGATGGGAGCGATGGGCCGTCATTCCCACGTAGCCGCGGCGACCCGGTCGGACTGCATTCCGGGAGGGCGCACGTGCGAGGGTCACCCAGATGCAAGGTGCGCGGTTTCGCACGCCACCACATCAATGGCGAGTCGCGGCGGCAGGGGATCTGGGCAGGGCAGAGCACGGGGGGGGAGGGGTTCGGCAGGCGGGGGCGCCGTGCACATCAAAGGTGTGCTGGCTCCCCTCCCCCCAGGGCTGCACAGGCTGCCTCCTTACAGTCCGCGGCTCAATGCGCTGCTCGCCGCGCACCGCTTTGAATGGGACTTCAAAGGGAAGCCTTCTTCTCTCTCTCTCTTTTTTTTTTTAAAGTTTCTTCTTTTTGTCCGCTCTGTGTAAATAAAACGGCCAGTTTAAAGCGTCGCAGATTATAATACACCTCGGGGAAAAGACATAACTGTGCCATCGTACGTTTAATTGACCCATTCAGCGCGCAGGAGAATGGGAACAGTCCGTCCGGAGCCGCCCTGGCCCCCCCGTGTCCCGCGCTATTGTTCGGCGGGCTCCTCCGCTCGGCGCTGCGGCGGCTGTGAAGGAGAGGCGGTGGAGGACCGTGGGCCCGGGCAGGGGGGCGCTTTCCCACTGCGCCGTGGCCCCCGGGGCTCTGGCCAGGGCGCCCTCGGCCCGGAAACGACGTGTCCGTGCGCCTGCAGACGAGGGCGAGGCAGGGGGACTGACCGGAGGGAGCTCTGAAAGGTGAACTCTGTGCTGGAGGGCTCTCCCCGGCGAGCGCTCGCAGGCCTTCCTGTGTCTTTCACCAGCACGCGTTCCCACGCTGCTGCACGGCGCGGTCGGCGCTAGCGGGGCCCTGCTCGCCCTTATTCCAAGTGGCGACGCCGGCTTCTCCGTTTCCTTGCCCCACTTAAACTCCAGCTGCTTTTCCCAAGGCTGCGCGCAGGAGAGACGGCGGTTCTCTCTTCACGCCCTCCCTCCCTCCCTATCCCTGCCCCGGCACGAGGACCACCAGCCTTCTAACCCTCGTGGTATCACCAGGTCGCGGGGGTGGTGATGGCGCACCAGCGCAGGGGACGGAGGCTTTCTGGGATGCCCTGCTCTTGGAGGCAGGCTTGTTCCCAGAAGTGAGCTGGCAGGCTGCTGAGCTCCAAGCCCTCCTAATCCCCTGAGGCTTCTCGGTAACAGGGAGGGGAGGCAGGGCAGGGCAGGCCAGCTCTTCCCTGTGTGCCAGTGTCCATCCGGCAGGGTGCAGCAGGGGGAGGGGAACAGCCGGAGCCAGGTTGTGGCTTTAGAGCTCTAATGCATGGGAGGGGGATCAAAACAGCCTCGTAGGAAAATTCAACAGAGAAATTCTTCCTCGGTGACATGTAAACAAAGGGGAAGTCAATTTCGATGAGTGAATGGCAACCAGCGTCTATTTTCAGACGCGGGGTGGTTTTGATTGCCAAGCGTGCTCTCGGGGAAATTACAGGGCGACTCTGACACGGGACATTAAGTGCAGGTTGTCTGTGGCCGGGGCGCGCTGGCGCTGTATAATTTGATAATCTCTCGGGATGCTCAGACACGGCCACAGACTTTTTATATCCCGGGCCTCGGGCGCGCTGCAGCCTGCTCGCGCTCTGCGGGCTAGAGCGAATGTTTACACAGAGCCTGCGCTGGCACCGCGTGCTGCGCGGGCCTGCTGCCGAGCCGGACCTGCTCCAGGAACCCGCCCCCCCGTCACTGCCGGTTTCATCCAGCGGGGCGCTGCGGAGTGCCGATGTTTCTCGGCTTTGAGCGCCGGCAAGCTCTCCTGGTTTAAAACAGCTGCACCCGCCAGCTGTGCATCGTGCTGGGCTGCTCTTTCCTTTCGTTCTCGGGCTGGAAGTCCGCAAGCAGGGTTTGGAGCTGCTGGGGCCGGGCTGCCGCCTGAGTGAGCAGTAGGATGTGATTGCTGGCAGCTCAGCCCCTCTGCGTGCAGGTACCCCTGTGCGCCGAGGGGGTCAGGAGTCCTTCCAAAATGAACCTGAGCATCCGTATCGACCTGAAAGCAACGACATCAGTCGGTTTCGTGCTACTGAAAGCAGTGGATATCGATTCTTTTGCCCCCCCGCCTGTCTTCTGTGTCCCCGCCTCCACACTCTCTGCGCTCAGAAGAGGGCCATCCATGCAGGTGAGGTGGGGCTTGTCTCTTTCTCTCCCTTCTCTCTGGGCAGCGCGCCCCGCGCGACAAGGGCCCTCCAGGCGCACATGAAAGGATGCCGCCGGCGTGAGGGGCTCCTGAAAACGTCCGCGCTCCGCCGAGAGGAGCACCCAAAGGGCCCTGCTCCAGTCCTGAGCAGCCTTTGTGTTTCTCCCCTCTCTTTTTTTTCCCCCCATCTTCTTTACTTTATTTCTCCTCCTTATGACTCATTCCTTACTCCTTGCATGTGCTGTGTCTGCCAACCCAGTCGCTGAAGGAGAAAGAAGGCTAAGCAACACTCCTTCCGTCTTTCCCACCCTCTGCCTGGCCCAGCTGGTCTTCAGGCCGTGTCCGGGAGGAGCGAGCAGGCCCGGGCGAGGGCTGTCCCGGTCACAGGGCGGTCTTCACACAGCTCTGCCCCCGGCGCCACGGCGGGGGAGACGCACAGCCCTCCTTCGGCTGCTGCCGATCGCTTCCATTCCCAGCAGCCCCTGCCGAGGCTGTGCTGCAGTTGGCACTCTCTCTCCTCGCGCTTAACAGATACGTTGACGTTACATCCTCGGAGACCGCTGTGAGGACCGGTCTCAGCTGTGCGCGTGAAACTGTTTTAAGTGCCGATGTTGGGGAAAACGCCTCTTTTCATACGTTCCCTTTCGCTGGTAGGCGACGGTTCCGAACAGCAGTAAGCGTTCGGGACGCGAGAGTCGTCGTTTTCTAACACTGGGGATGACGAATCTCGGGAGGCTCGCACATGTGTATTGAAAGTTTCTTGGGCGTAGGAAGTATCACAAAAGCCCAGTTTATGATCTACTTTATTTCTGATGTCCAGCGTGCACAAAAAGGAATGTAAGTAAGGAACAGAGTAATCCAGTGTATTGCTGTGCTGCTTGCCTGAGTCGATTATTCCCAACTCCACACCTTGAAGATCAGCAACACACCGGTTTTCTGAATCTCTTTATACCCTCATCAGCTTGAGACTTGAACATGAGGAACACGATTGGTCCATTTAGGGCTCTCCATAGGTCTCTATCTGTTTACGATTCCAAGATACCAGTAACATTTGCTAGGTATTGAACGCCGAGGACAAGGATTGAATTGAGATCATTTAAGGGGAACCGTAAGCACCTGTCCTGGCTACTGTCTCTAATGATTCCTTCTCTACTGGGTTCTGAAGATCACAAGGAGCCGTCTGAATGGATTACCTTCCAGTATGGCCGTCCACTCATGGACCCGCCCTGGACACTTTAGAGAGTGGACATCCCTACTGCGAGGGCAGCCTCTGTGGTTGTACTGCTGTGTTTCTGCATATGACTCTTTCAGTCCTTCCAGTTGAAGTTCGTTTTCTGATAATGATCTGCGAAGGGTGTAGATACTGCGTTCTGAAGCTTTTTATCCAGCCCTGATCTGTTCCGCTGCTGTGAAGTTTTAAGACGTTACATAATACGAGGGGAGCCCCGAGTGTCGGAAGCCTGTTTTGATCTGTCATGCGCGGGTACTTATTCTGAGTGGCGCTTCGAGAGAGTTCTGTCAGGTTTCACAGATAAGGAGCTGTGCTGCGCTCAGTGGTATGTTTGCTTTGTTGGGTGTTGGTGATGTGCCACGCTCCTGTTTCTGCGCATTGACAACGGCAGGCTTGTGTAATGAACCTGCTGCTTTTTCTGGAAAGGGACAGTGCTGCCACGTCGGGGGAGCACTTCAGAAACGGCTTTGTGTTTGTAGAGACTCTCTGTGCTTCTTACAGAAGCCTAACCTGGAGACTGCTTCAGAGCAAATGGGATCCTCTATCTGGAAGGTTTTTGAATTTTGTGTAGAATTTGTCAACTGTGTCTGTCAACTTTGGTGTTTCAGGATATGGATATATAACAAGGCAGGGGAAGATAAGCATAATGGGTAAATCCCACCTTCTTGTCAAATATTAAGGGGGTTCTTTAGAGACCAAATCCTGTGCTTTAATGCTTTATGACACACTGATAAATTTACAAAGAGAAGCTGGTAATGACATACTGTGTATGTTCATTCTAGCTCATGTTTAGCCTGTTCTGGTTTGCTTTTTTTTAAATCAAATTTAATCTGAATCTTCAGTTTTCCATATTAAAATGATTCATTATCTGTTACCGGGTGATCCTATTCCATGCAGTTAGCTCTGCTGCCTCTCAGGACTTGATTCTTGTGTTCGATTCAGGTACCCTCTGTGTGTTGATGATGTACACTCTGTGTGCAGTATGCGTGTTCACCCCATGTTGGCATTGGGATTCCTTCCACCTTCCAAAGGCACGCTGGCTGGGTTCATAGGCATCTCTACATTTGTGCTTATGTGGGAGAGCCCCGCACTGAACTGGCGTCTCATCCTGGGTTGTAGCCCTGCCTTGTGCCCTCTGCCTCCAGGATCAGCTCTGGAATCCTGAGACCCTTCCCAGGAGTTTAGTGGCTTCCTGCTACTGCGTGGAGAGATGGGCAGACCCATTACCACAAAGGTTCTGACAATCCAGCGGCGGTCTAGGTGTTTTGTGCTATAAACTGGTCTTTCAGAAAATCAAGATCAAAGGTTTTGATCATAATGGGTCTCTTCTTTGCGTGTCTGCATTTGCCATTAGCTCCAGCTGCTGATGTGTTGGGGGGGGTGTGTTGCAGGATGCCAGAGACCTGTGGGCCTGTCTCGAGGGAAGGCCAAGGTGTGCTACTACAGCGGCTGGTACTACTGCCAGAGCTGCCATGAGGACAGCCTCTTCCTCATCCCTGCCCGGCTGCTGCACAACTGGGACACCAGCAAACACAAGGTACACACAGTTCCTCTGCCTCCTGCCTACCCCCCACCCACACACACTGAAAAGGGACTGGACTTTGTGGGGCACATGATGTTCTTCTGAAGCACGCTCATAAACCCTGAGCTTGTGTCCATCCATCCAATCCATCTGGTACTGGAGAACTCTGTCTGTCACAGTGATGAT